GAATTTTGAATGACGTCTTAAAGCGAAAACTGTCGAGAGAAGCCTATTTGATTTGCAAACAGACCGACCCAGCTGGCTACTTCTGACTTTTGGTAGGCGCCCTTAGTATTCAATTAGTGTAATTCTAATAGTATTATTAGACTTATTGCTCAAACCTATTGTACTTAAAGAGAACAGACACGGGTCTTCATGTACCCATTGCATAGCCCCCTCAGCCTCACTTGTAAGAATTCAATGTCCTTGTGCTATTTGCCCCGACAATAAATCTTTCTTGTGTATTAAGTCTCTCAGATCAATCTTAAAATTTTTGTCGATCATGCTCATCAGATGGGTGATATCTTATATACCTCCTCAGCCACCACTGGTTAAGATGGGTCCTGGTTGGGTCCGTCTGCCCTACTTCAGTATCACATACAACTGCTGTTAACTTTATATGTGATGTACAATGTTAGTATATTATTTTTTAAACAGATTAAGGAGTTAGAAGCCAAATATCCAGACTTGGCAAAGTTAGTCAAAGCATGTGTACAGGTGAGAAAAATGGTTTTATTTTTACCACTAATGTAAATGTGTAAAAGTGGCATGTGTCCAGACCTTCTTCAACTCTTTTGAAAAGCTTTATTCTTGCCGTCTACTAGCCTGCAAGCAAGCTCGGGGGGCTCTAGATGCAAGGGAGAAAATGATGTCCGAGTATTTGAACTCTAGACTACCTAGAACAAATCCAGCTAGCGGCAAGGAGGGGACTAAAACTAGGTGCCTCGGGATTAAAACATCCAGCACTCTTACCACTTGGCCGCGGAGTAACAAAATGGTACGTATCCTCTTTCCCCATAAACGGTTTTCCAGCACCAACACAACATCAGCTTAAATTATGTTCCATATTTTCATACTGATTATTGCCACATGCTCACAGGGAAAAGTCGTTACCGCACGTTTCCATGGTAGCAAAATCTGTGGATCTTAACAAACCGTGGTCCTGCAAATATGGCCAAAAAACTATAAAGATGACATGAATGACTTTCCTGTGCATCATTGCACACCGAAAGCAAACGGTAGCTCATACTTTCCTTCCATCGTTCGACAATGCAAATGGCCGTCTCGGTCAAGAAAGATTGTTGAGATCCAGAAACTTTGCAACCACTCTCCACTTAGTAAGAAACGAGAAGGGAACTGGACTCAAAATCTGTCCCCCAATTGTTTCTGGAATCGTTACTGAGCACGCGCCAGTCAGCTATTGGTCAATTGTTTTTCCTGTCCCCAGTAACAGTCCCAAAAGTCTTTGCAAAAGTTAACTTGGCTCAGTTTCCCTCTCGTTTCTAAAGAAGTGAATGGTAACGTCACGATGCACTTCTCTCTATCATGCACTGACTGTAAAATAATACATCTCTATTATTCGTTTTGTTTAAGACGTCCTAATTTTTTACACGTTACTGATAATAAAATTAGATGTTGCTATTTTCATGTCTCACAGGAGCCAATGGATCGTCCCACGGACTCCTTGTTGCGTTGTGACATTGTCCGTAATTATATCAGGTAATATTGTCAGAATTGACGTTACAGACTGATTTAATTAGTGAAGTTTTCGCGCTCTGGTATTTCTGATTATTCTGTTGTTTGCTTTTTCTTATAGGTCTCTAAACAGTCACCCGTTACCGAACTTGCAGCTACATGAGTAGGACAGTGTAGCGCTAAGATAGGTTACTGTCTGGTGTCGCTACGTGCTATTTCGCTACACATGTGCTATGCATTCTTTTCTGTAAACCTTTGAGAGGGCGAGAGCGGACCTGGGATGTAGATAGCGAACTCACATGTAGCGAAATCGACAGGTTGATAGTTTCCGACGCAGCCGTTTTTGTTTCGAGACAAGAGTAAAACGGTTGCCTGGGAGACTAACGAGTGCAAAACTTTAATTTTAATTTTTAACGAACGTTAAAAGAAAGTATAAAACTGGTGTAAAACTGTTGTCGAGTTTCAGTCGCGCTCGCATGCAGCTAAAAGCTTTGTAGTATGTTAAGGTGATGTTACACAGGACGATTCTTAACGATGAATTTCGTGGCATTAAAAATTGATACCGTGTAGCATGGACGCTCGGTCGACTTTCTGCGCACTATTTGTGTTGTATTCTTTTAAACAGGCTTCATACTTGCAAGGCTAATTCACGAATTCCACCCAAGTTAGTTCGTGTAATATACGTTTCGTTATTAAGCGTTCCGTGTAACATCTGCTTAAACTTGCTACGCCAACTTGCAACACCGGCAGGAGGTAAATATCGTCGTTGCAAATCGTTCCGTGTAACATGAACTTTAAAATCGCGAAATCAACACGACTCCACTCGCGAGAAAACTAGTACCAGCCAACTTAATTTGTATAGCTCTTACCCAAATAGCAGATAAGCCATAAAAATAAATGTAACATAGTAAATTTTGACAGAACTATAGCATAGTTTTGTAAAAATGATTACATGCAACTTGAAAGGGTTCTTGGCATGTAAAATTGACAAGTAAATTAAGGTAGTTTTAGAATGTATAAAGTATTTGAATCGCGTAAACTTGTCTTCGTTTGGTCAAGCGATAAATATAATTTTTTAGTATATACACACTCAGTGATCTTGGTAACTCAAGCAATCTGATTGGTTAGCTATCTCGGACTATGACGTTATATTCACCGCGCTAGGCGGTGAATATAAAGCAGAACAAAATCGCTGTCGTGAACTGGGTGTTTTTGCCAAAGTTTCGCAATAAAGCGTTTTTGAAAATACACGAATATCCAAGTGCTGATGACTTCATGATGCTTAAACAGCGTGATTTATTGTGAAGTGGTTTACTGTAGCTGACTTTTTTTTTGAAAACGAGGTCGCTTTGCCACTGTTTTGTGATTTCGGGATTTTCTCGCAAGAACAATTTTGCCTATAAATAGAAGTTAATTTATGAAGAAAAGAGGAAGGCAAATATTTTCGAAAATTGTACGTGCCAGCAAGTTAACAAGGCAAAGAACTTTGGAGATAAACAACGCTCACTTTGATCGTAGCCGCTGTTGACAGCATTTGCAAGAAGCGACAAAGAACTTTCTCATTCACGGTGAGTTGACAGAAACAATTAAAGCTCTACTTTTCTTCTCAGAATTGGGTAGTAATTTAAATTTTCGGCGTTTTCTTTTAAACCGTTGATGCTAAAGCTTACAAAACTCGATACAAAAAAGTTAAAACTATCATTTGCCATGTTTGAAGATACTGTAAAGATCTAACTTTTGCGCATCCACTGTTTACGGCTTCTCGTTCACGCATGAATTTACCTGTCAATCAAACTAATAGTGTTTTAATGGTTTCCTTTCTGATTCTGTTGAGATCACTTCGTGTGAATATACTAAAACAATTATTCTCCTCAGGCTCAGTTAATATTGTTGAATAATCCCCGAGACGAAGTCGAGGGGATTATTCAACAATATTAACTGAGCCTTCGGCGAATAATTGTTAAATACTCTGCGATTCAAATAATTGGTTCTAATTAATTAGGTTTTATAACGAGTTTGGAAAAAAGTAAAATAACCAAGGTATAGGCGTCTCTCGTCTCATTGATTATTCTTTAAAAATCCTCGCAGCAAAGCTATATTTCAGAAGGGTCGTGACTAGAATGGATACTCCAAAATCAGGTATCCGCTCGGAGACTGGAACTGAATAAAATTATTTTTCGGCAAATCACTCCGACTCTTCACGACCTTGTTGTGTTCAAAGAGATAAGTATACAAAGACCGACAAAAGGCCAACATGCGAATGGTTACTCCAAAATATGGATCAAAGCCTACATAGAGGTTAGTTGTTTTTCACGTTCTTTTTGTAAGAATTTAGTGCAAGGAGCAAACAATGTCTGTTTAATTACAGTACCGCGACTGCCTTGTAAAGCTTATTCATAGCAAAGTATCTGTTTGGATAGCTCAGAATAAGGTGGATACTTCAGAATAAGAATGGCCAAAATATGGAAGTTTTGGCCATCTGCATTATTATTACTGAACTTCCCAATATAAACATGATTGTTGCGTTTACAAAAAGGGTACAAATACAGTCAATTATTGTGTAATTATGGCTCAGTTAATTCGAAGCTTGCTTATAGGATAGCAGGCCGGGGGGCGGTGGTGGGGGTACTCGACCAATACTTGGGTATAGGTGAGCCGCTGAGGGTTTGAAACCCATACCCTGTTTAGGATAACACCCTCAACGTTAGTACCCTGATAGGACATCCCTCAGACGGGGACAAGGTTATCAAGCACACCTGTCAACTTGTACTTATATTAGCTAGACAAAGGTGCCAAGAACAATAGCATTTATATTTATTCCAGTAAATGCTTTGGGTGATGAGGTACTAAATATCTGTAAACGTTTGCACTAAGACGAAATCGATCATGCATGAAACACCCTGTTTATAATTAGAACAGACTCGCACGAATCATGCACACTGTTTAGGACAGACTTGCACGAAATTGTATACCGTGTTTAGGACAGACTTGTGCCAATCTATATACCCTGTTTAGGACAGAGAGGATGAAAACCAAACCCTGTCCAGTGGCACATCCCCATGTAGGCCATATAAGGGAGTACCCTCCCCCCTACCGGGATAGCAGACAGTTGTTCAATTTATGGCTCAACATAAACTATTTCTGTTTTCTTATATATTATGGTTGATTTTTTTTTTTCAGTAGTAAGTTGCTGTTTAGTTTAGTGTGACAATAATGGATACTTTATGAGATTATAAAAACCAAAGTGACCCTCACAACCTGTGGGATACATGGGTCAACCTTTTGGTGTGCTGGGTGTCTGGCACAATTAGCCAACCAGAACCCAAATCCTTTCATAGTCTTTTCTATGACCAAAAGGCCCAATGTTGGCTACTTTTGGCAAATGTAAACTATGTGATTCCAAGTTAGTCATTTTGTATTCCTGAATCTGCTGTGTGAACCTTTGCAATTTCCAGTCACAGTGAAGGTGTTGAAAAGGTAGTCCCATTATAGTCCATCCTGTCATGAAATGTTGCACCATCCACAGGAAGCCCAGTTTGTTGGACTTTGAATTTATAAGAGAATGTATGACAATAAACAAAATGTGTCCTAAATTCCATTTTTTGACGAAAATAGAAATAAGAATGACTTACCTTGTGCTTTTTGTTTTGTTGAGCTAAAACGGCCTGGAAACTCTACTTCAATAATTATTATTCATTTATCAGTATTTTAGTTATTTATTTTGATATTAGGCAGGTACCACAAGGAAACGATTTGGTTGTTCCTTTTTAATTCAGATGATAGGCAACTTTGTAGGTGATAATTATTTGTAATGCACTGAACTGGGGGCCTTTCTCTGCTACCAAAAAAATCTTTAATTTTAACATCTTTTCATAATAACTGTTGAAAACTCTCATCTAAAACAAAAGGGTCAAGGCTTATTTGCTGAATCAAGGTACTGTATCGTGGAACACAGTGCTTTTCAGAATTACCGCCAAAGTAGTAGCTTTATTTCCAGAAAGACTGATTATAATGGAAGCTTCATTTAATGCATGGCTAATTTCAAATTTTCAGGTGACTTTCCAACCCAGGTATAGAGGGTACATAAAAGCACGTTGTGGAAGTGGAGAAAGAGTAAGAGGAAAGTAAAAGAGAGGAAAGAATTATGAGAAAAGGAAAAAATGAAAAAATGGTTGTGGAATTGTAAACATTTGAATGACTTTATTTTGATAAAAGTAATAAACAATATATTTTACACATTTTATCAAATTGTTAGAGTGGTTTGTTTGTGGTTTTGAGAATTTCATTAACCAAATGGTCAAGCTACCCAGACATGCAACTGAGCAGCTAACTGCTTGGCCTTCTCCAATTTTCTTCATTTCCTTCTCCAACTGGTTTCTCTGTTCGGCTCACAAGCATTTGTCTGCAACACCCCCCAGACCTCCAACTGCTCCTCCTGTTACAGCTGCAACATGGATATGCCTGCATGATCATTTTTATTCCATTTTAAATTTATGATAAGCTCACCATACTAAGTGAAAAACAGAAAGTAGCCCATAACCAGCTTAATGCTGAAGGTCTTGTCT